TTTGGTCAACGGCAAAACTGTGTGAGTCATATAGTCTAAACAACTAGGATACACATGAACTTGCCAAGAACTTTACTAGAGATGACTTTGGCATCTCTTATTGAATAGAATCTATGACTTTGGGTATATTATTACCCATGAATTCAATGTTGAAGCTTCAGTTTTGTCCATGAATTTGACATTTTCTTTGTATGCATCTCCCTCGAGAAGTTTATTGCATGGTCTGTCAAATTATGTGATTGATATCATCTGAGCCTTTAATTATGTAGGTCCCTATATGATTTATGGAACATGAAATATCTTTCATCTCAATAAAGCGTTTTTACGTGGAAATAGCTTCTTCACTCAATGAGTTTGATCTCCAAGCTTCCGTATTTTCCTTTTGGGAAGACTTGACTTTACATCTTGACTAAGACCATGACATGTTAATTCTAAGCATTAAACCATCCATTAAACCGAATATATTGATTCTATTGCTAATGCGACTATTGGTATTATCGCAATTATCGATGACAGAACAGTGAAAAGTCATAAAAAGAATATGAAAAGCGTTTCGGAGATTTCATTCGGCCAAAACATAAATTCCCTGTTTGCAAGATCAAAAGACTATATCAATACATTCGTTACTATCATTTTACTTTTGTACGGTAAGTATTTAAATGATCACAGAATTCTGTGGTCAAAACGTGACACGAACAATGTAGGATGATACAAATGTTCTTTAGTATCTAAATGATTGATATGAACATTCTAAGTGAAGCAAAACTAAAACTTACTTATGTGAAATTTCACTGAATCATATTAATCTTTTTTCTGTAATTCAGGGTATGAAAATAGAGGCTCGGTTATATGAAAGCTCATGAACCACCTGGAAATCATATTCATGTCCCATAAATTACATACTCATTGTCATGCCTCAATTAGGGGTTATCAGAATTGGTATCATTTCTCTCTCTCCTGTGACAAGGACAAGCCCTTTTCGGACTTTGTAGCGGATCTTGCGAGAGGCCCACAGAATAAAAGAAGCAATTCATGGTTTATGTTAAATTAAAAGAATCCCACTATGGGCCCAGCCCAATGGTCAACCAGGAATGAGGGGAAGGTCATTTTCTCTCTATTTTATTTTTTTGGGAAAAAAGGAAAAAAGTTGTAGTAATCAAATCACCAATATTACCACCGTCAGATTTTGCATAGCTGCCTGTGTAATATATTTTTTTTTGGGTACACATCCACATCTCTTATTATTGAGACGAGTAATTAGTTACATGTTAAAACCAAATACTTGTCGGACGTGGGATGTGCCAAAAAAAGGATAAATAGCTTGCAAATCTAATAATTTATTACCATCTTTCAAAAACTACCATAAACCATCTAAGCATAGTAAGATACTCCGTTCGAAACTTAGTGCACATTTATACCGTGAAGCAATCACTTAAATATGGGTCGGATTTCGAATAGTGTTTCAAATACCGAACTAAACTGGTCGATTCAATAAGGTATCGGCCTGATCTACGGTCCGGTTCAATTTGCGGTCGAAACCGATCAAGCCGGTTGTGCCATTTCGTTAAAAACCGGTATTAAACTCATGAATCATGATCGACTATTAAATTTACACTTATTGTGACATTCTGAATTTCGATATGCGCTTTCAGTTAAATCTCACTCAGAAATTGATCACTCTCGAGTAGACTAACCATTAGGGAATGACTAGTTAGGAATCAAGTACGTAGACCTAAAAACTTGGCCATGGATTGACACTTCGACCATAAGGACTGGCGAGAGAATATTTTGGGCCATTAAAGGCCGATCCAAGGATGGTTACAGAACGATTCGCAAATATCGTGCAATTGGATCACGGGTGATTCCGCTTGGCCATTGTATGAATTTCGAATTATCCTAAACCTAATCCGAACGATCGCGTCATTCGGAACTAGTGATTGACTCTCACAATTACATGACAACCGAGGTCGCCACGGCTCGAGTAAACTTAGATGTGGCTCGTTATCAAATCGGCCACGAGTCGATACGCGTAAATTCCTAAAAGTCACCCGTTAATTTGAGATACACTAAAGCAGCGTTCGATTGAATTTGGCAATTAATTAGAATCCGAATCGGGTATTGAAGTTTCAAAATTTCCACGACTAATTTGTTGGACGACGTCTCATTAAACGTGGCCAATCGTCGGGTCGATCGGAATTCCGGAAAAGGGGAAAATGTGGACAAATTATTGGTTGAGATTATGTTGAACACTCTCTCTCCTCCTCCCCCGCCGAACCCCCACGACGCTGCTTTTCCTCCCCCACGCCGCTGACCTATCCTTCCCGCTGACTCCCTCCTCTTTCCCCACTGATTTCCTTTGCACCCTCACGTTACTTCTGCCCTCACGTGCTGTTTCTTCCTCTGCATGATTACTTCTGCTGCTGACTTTGCTGCTGCCCCACGCCGGCTGACCCTTCTTTCCCGCTGACTTCCTCTCTTCCTTCACATCCACGCCTGCTGCTTCCCTCCCTGCTACTTCTGCTTCATTGCTGACATCCCCATGCTGCTGCCCATGATGGACTTCCCTGCTGATTGACTTCTCTTCTCCATTTTCTTCTTCTTTTTCCACTTCTGTTGCTTCTGCCCTTGCTGCTTCACGTGCTGCTGACCTGTTGCTGCTTCATTGCTTCTTCTTCCCATTCTTCTTCTGCTTTGTGGCTTGCTGCTTTGTTTCTGCTTCTGTTTCTCGCTAGCTTCTCCATTTTCGCTGCCCATCCCGCTAGAACCAGCCACCGTCGAGAGCCGCTCCGCCCCAGCCATCACCACCTCACCGTCCCTTAGCCGTGAACCGCCGTGGTCCGCTGTTTGCCACCGAGGACGCCGGAACAGCTGCTGTTTGCCGGGGCTGTTGGCTGCTCCTTTGGCTTGGCTTTGCTTAGGTTTCTAGTAAGTGTTCCCTAAGCCTTGGTTAGGGTAATGGGTTACTAATGGACATGTTTAGGGGTGGATTAGGGCTGTGGATAATTGGTTTAGTGGCTGGTTGTGCTTGGTTTGCTTGGTGGTGCTTGTTGGTTGATTTCCGGTAAGGTTGCTGCTGCGTCGCTGGATTTTTCTATTTTTTCTGTGATTTTTGTGCCGAATTTGAGAAAGTGTTCTTCATAAAAGTTGCTCATGACATCTTGTAGTATAACATAAATTAAATCTAGAATTGTTGGAGATCATTTAGGGTCATTCGTAAGTTCATTTTTGGACCGTATTCAGTCTGCCAGATTTACTGTTCACCCGACCTTCTTGTCTTTCCGAATTTTTATAAAATTTTCCAGGCCTTGTTTCAACAAACTTCCTTCATAAAAATTGTTAATAACACTTTTTTCTATGGCATATAAAAATTTCAAGGCTTTCCAAAGTGATTTGTGTACTGAATGAGATGCATTTTGATGGTCAGGCGACCTGACCGGACGGGTTGAATTTCGTCTGACTTCAAGTGACAAAAAGAGGTGTTTAAAGTTGGAAATGGATTTCGAGTTCTTCACAGAAAATGTTTATCAAGATATTTTATACAACATATCGAAAATTTAGAATTTTTGGAGTTGATTTATTATTTATTTAAAAAGGATTTCGGTCACTGCGCAACAGCCCAGTTTGGCTCCGATTTTGTACATACTCGGTTTTTCTCTCTCTCGGGAACTAATCAGTGTTACCATGACATTTTGGTGGATTTAGTTGACATTGGACTAATTTACAAAGATAAGAATCAATATTGATTGCTGAGATGTGTGTGTATGTGATCACGACACGTTCCGTCTAGGCGGGAGTTCTAGACGATGCCCGACGGGAGTTCGGATGCCGGCTAGGCGGGGGTTCTAGTCGTTGCCGATCGCGGTGGAGGCCGAATCGATGCTCCTAAGTGGAATGCAGTCGGGTACCCGGCTTGCCGGGGGGGTTCGATCCCCGACGTTACCGTTGCCGACGTAGCGGGACGATGCCTGGTTACGCTAGAAGACCGGCGGGAGTTCGGTGGCCCGAGGGGTCATTAATAATCTGGATAAATGCGAACGTATGCTATGCATTGATGAATGCTCAAAATCCGGATTATTGAGTATGTTTCTTATGATTATGCCATGAATTGAAATGTGCTTGTTTGATGAGCAATTGGCCATGTTATGGCGGTATACTAACGTGCAGGGCATTGTGTATGTGCCAAGGCGAGGTAAGGATGCTTGTGATTGTTTATGGCACGTTGAATGCTAGAATTGCATGTTAGGGCTGTCCGGAGGTACGTGTTAGCCTAAGCGAGGCTTAGGTAGTTGCTTATTGAGATTTTATCTCATTGTTGCAATATAACCATTTCAGACCCTCGACCATGAACCGCCCTTCTCTGCATTTTGGCGTGCCTATGGAGTTGTTTGGAATCCTTTATGTACCTACATTTTCCCGCAATTTAGTTTCTTTACCAAAACATGATATAGCAAGATTTTCTTTTAAGTTTGGTTCTGGATCTTTCATATTATTTAAGAATAATAATCTTATTGGAACTAGAATTTTATGTGATGGTCTCTACAAGTTTAAACATGATAATGCTTTTGTTGAGACTTTGATGACTTGCATTGCAATGTTGGCACTAAACGTAGTTTCGTTGATGAGAATTCTGTTTACTTGTGGAATAAATGTTTGAGTCACATATCACTACAAAAAAACATGAATTTTGCCATGGAAATTTGCGACGGGGAATTTTTCGTCGCTAATTTACGACGAAATTTGCGACGGAATTTGCCACGAAATAAAAATTTGTCGCAAATTATCGACGGAAAATAAATCCGTCGCTAATTCGCGACGGAAAAAAAATCCGTCGCAAATTTGCGACGGAAAAAAAAAATCCGTCGCAAATTTGCGACGGAAAAAAAAATTGCGACAGAAAAAAAATCCGTCGCAAATTTAAGACGGAAAAACAAAATCCGTCGCAAATTTGCGACGGAAAAATAAATCTGTCGCAAATTTGCGACGAATTTTGCGACGGAACTATGAATTTAGTCCCCCGCCAATCTCTCAAGTCTGCCCGCCCTCACCCCAGTTTTGCTCTCTCTCTCTGCTATTCCTCAGAACCACCCCCCCTCCGCCAAACACCTCTCCGTCGCTCCCTCCTCCCTCCCGCCAGCCATGATGGCCACCCTCAACGCCACCGCCGTTGCCTCCTCCTCCGTCGCCATCTGCCCGTTCCACGCCCACATGCCCTCCCGCGCGCCCCGCCGGGATCCGGTGCTCCGTCACCGAGGGCCCCACGATCTCCCAGCCGAACAGAGTTCGTCTCCCCGTCTCACCTCGAGCTCTGGAGCTCTTCCCAGGTACGAAACGAGCTCGCTCCCGCGGTCGTCATTGGTTTCGTACAGTGACTGTTCTTGATGTTGTCTTTGGTTTCGTGTGATCAGCATAGGGTGAGGTTGGGGAAGTACAAGAGGGATGCGGATTCGTTGCGGAGGGAGGGGGAGAATTCGCAGGCCGTGTGGAGACCTGATACCAAATTGATTGCCGTTGTGGTGAGTTCGAGATGTTTTTATGGATACCAAATTGATGAAACATGATATGATCCGGTCGATTTGTGAGTCGGGCAATTGCAATTGATTTTGCATTTGCATTGCCGTTCTTGATTCATATCTGGTCGGCCTATAACTATGGATTGGTATAAGTTCATTTTTTGGGATGTACTCGTGTACAAAATTTACCTTGACTACAATACATCCGCAAAGGATGGTGCTCAAAATGAGAGCTGGGTGCCCTGCTGTAGATCTCTTCTTTGGCTGTTCCACTTAGAAATTCTGCGTGTCGGTTGACTACTGTCATTCTTCGGACTGATCTTTGTAACTACTTAATTTTGGCCAAGGGGGTATCGGTATGACCATTTAGATAATTATCTCTAATAGAAGCTAGAGAGGTGATGCTTGTCAATTGTGCCTATTGTTAGTGAATGCGAGCATTCTTTCCTCCTTCTTTGGTCTTGCTCTGACTAGTAAAATAAACTACCAGTTGCTTCTTATATTATCCCCTCGAGGGCACCTGGTTGCTTCTTATGACGTGTTTTCATATTTTTTGCAGACGACTTCACTCTATCTTCATTTATTTAAGGTTCACTTTTCTGAGAAAAGAGTACAGATTGGAGGGAAGCAACCATCTAGTTTGTATTTTGCGACTATTTCTCTTCTCCTCAGCGAGCAGGTTCCCTTTGGAGACATGAATTTATCTATGTGAGTATTACGCTAATGTATTTGTGTATATGCTGGAAATCTAAACTTGTGCCTTAGTGGACTGTGGGCACGCCATTGTCTTTATTATTCCCTAAACTCAGTTAAGTTGTACAAAAATCACATAACATCTTGTAAGTATATTGGTTTTGCTCATTTAAAATAAAAAATATTAAATGAACAAAGCAGTCTAGAAACCTAATGGGCATGTTTGATGAATGTTTACCGAGCTTATGTCTCTTCCTCAGGAGCAATATTGTAAGTGGTAACAGGCATATGCTGCTTGGACTCTTTGACGGATCCTTGTATGGCATTTCTTGGAAGGGAGAGGTATGCTTTATCTTTTTTACTGGCTATTTACTTTCAGGATCAGAGTTTTCTGTAAGACGTTGGTGCTTTGATCTGTTCAGCCTGAAGAGGGTTGTCTTTGTTGATTATGATTTAATTTCTCTCTTTACATCATAATGTCTGCGCAGTTTTGTGGGGCTGTTGGACTTGACCATCCCATACGAAATGAGAGTGATAAAGTAACTGACTTACCACATCCTGTAAGTAATGGAATTGGGTATAGTCTTCATCGAGAAATGGAGATGATGTTTGTGAGTTTATAGGGTAAATGGGTTAGGATAGGGTGCTTTGCAAGTGTTTGATGAATGACCTAGTTCTCCAATTTGCGAATAGACGTGCAATTTTGGACTTTTTTTATGCTGTTGCAAATAGCGAGGCGAGGCTCAAATCGGCGTGAGTTCTTTCTTGGGTGTTCTTCCTTTTTTTTTTTTTTTTGGGGGAAAGGAAGAAAATGGAGAGGACAAAGCTATCGTTGGATAGATGCTCAAGAACACTCAGACTTCACTTGCAGAAGGTAGTGCTTCATGTGTTAATTTTTTTGAAGCTTTCTTTGGATAGATGCTCATTCTCTTGCTTGTCACTTCAGAACAAGAACGCAATCGCCAGTTGACAAAGCCTATAACTGCTGAAAAGGTAGGATATGGTTCTATGTATTGTTGATATTCGCATTGAGGTTGGCAATGAGAACCTTGCCAGAGTACAGTTGTGCTGTTTTTGTGCATATTGGTCATCACTTTTGTTTGTTTGCAGATGGAAACAAGAAAAGCAGAGCTTGAGATTAACCTTGCAACTAATCTCAAGAGGCAGAAGCAAGAGTATGAGGCTATTATATCCTCATCAGAGACTGATTTGCATGAAAATGAAGCGGAATCAAAGTGGCAGGAGCTAAAAGATACTAAATCATTGGTCATTGATGCAACCCAGCGATTAGAAGGTGGAAATTTTGGATTGATCGGAATATTGTTGTCTTGAAGCTTTAGATTTTGTTCGCGCTTTTGATTGAAACAAAAATTATCAGGAATTAATAGAAGTACAGAGGAAACAAATAAGCAAATCAAAAAGATCAAAGATGAGATGGCAAAGTTGAAGGTACTATTTAATTTTTTCAGTGTGGACTAAATGTTGGTATTCAACTCTTTGGTTTCTTCTCAAATGATTGCTCGAATGCAGGCTTTGGAGGACACCTATGAGAAAACACTTCAGGATGAAACTAAAGAACTTGAACAACTCTTTAGCCGGAGGAGTACTCTTATAGCTAAAAAGATGAGTACTAAAAAAAGATAAGGAACTTGGGCCCGTTATCTTCTGATGCTTTTGAGACGTATGTTCCCTTGTCTAACTGTGAAAATGTTTTGACTTTGAAAATGCTTTTGAGGCGTATGTTCCCTTTGCTACTGAATTTTAATTTGGTTTCCACTATTGAAGCTCATCATACCTCATTTTATATGTTTGAGATTATAGGTATAGACGGAGGAGCATCAAAGAGTTGCAGAAGATGCTTCACAGATGCAACGAGCAGCTCCGATAGTTTAGTCATGTAAACAAGAAAGCACTTGATCAATACATGAACTTCACAGAGCAAAGGAAGTGAGCATCTCACATGGACCGTGTCTTTAGTTTTGTTCAGTATTTATATGATGGAGATTGTCGCTAAAAGCCGGATATTCTTTTTTGATTCATTTCTGTCGTCATTGTTTATTGTGCAAGATTATTTATTATGCAAGATTATTTATTCTCTCATTATGTGTACTATAAAGAAAAATATTTCTGTCATTCTTGTGGAAAATGTAGATGAATGTATTTCATTTTCATATTATTATAATATTTTGATGTTATTAAGTGCTTAATCAATGTTAAATATAAATTTCAGAAATTAATTTTGCTTTTAATTAAGTTTAAAATCGAAAAATAAAATAAATGATTTTATCGTACGATCACTAATTATAAAAGTTCGTTACAAAAATAAAATTTCGTCGCTAATTTCGTCCCTAAACGATATTCGTCACAGAGTTCGTCGCTAAAGAATTAATAAAAAATCATTGCTAAATTTGTTCATGAATAATGTTCATGGCAAAAGTCAAAATTTTTCGTGACAAATTTGCGACGAATTTTGCCATGAGTAAGTTCGTCGCAAATTACAAACAAAAAAAAATTCGTGCCAAATTAGCGACGAATTTTGCCACGAATACAGTTCGTGGCAAATTAGCGACGAATTTTGCAACGGAAAAATAAATCCGTCGCAGGAAAATAAATCCGTCGCAAATTTGCAACGGAAAAATAAATCTGCGACGGATTGAAAATGCCCTCCGTCGCAATTTTTGTGACGGAAAATTTTTGCGACGAATTATTTGCGACGAATTTTGCGACGGATAAAGTTCGTGGCTAATTTGCGACGAATTTTTTGCGACGGAAATTGAAATTTTCCGTCGCAAAAATTTGCGACGACCTATTAGCGACGGAATTTTTTCAGTCGCTAATTTCGTTGCAAATTCGATTTGCGACGGATTTTGCCAAATTTTTCGTCGCAAAATTCGTCGCTAATCCCTTGTTTTTTTGTAGTGTATCCAAGAAAGAATGCAAAGATTAGTAAAGAATGAAATTATTTCGAATTTTGATTTTACAGATCTTGGAGTGTATATTGATTGTATTAAAGGTAAATAAACAAAACACACTAAGAAATGTGTCACAAGAAGCGTAAAGCTTCTTAAAATTATACACACTAATATATGTGGAGTGACATCCTCGATTCGGACCCTGTTTCGGCAAGAGAAGTGGCTTAAACTGTCAATGCACATTAATAGCAGGGTTAGAACATGAGTCGATTCAAGAATCGTACATGGGTCAACTATTAGAATAGGAAGGACAATTGAGGGTTGGGAAATGCGCTCGACTAGAGTACTCGACCATGGAAAATAGCTCGACCATAAGGATTGATGCGGGACGATCTTATAACGTCACGGGTCAATCAGTGAAAGGTTAGGAATCGATTCGACAGATGTATATATTGTCGGATTGCGGGTGATTCCGCATGATCATTATACTAAACCCGAACGATCCTAAGCTAATTTCATAAGACCACGTGCCCCGGGTAAATAAGTCATTTCTGCACGATTACATGACAACCAAGAATGATCCATGGATCGACGAGACTCGAATATGGATTGATTGACGAATCAACCATAAGTCACGCTAGTGACACCCAAGAGGCCGCCTAACTCGAATAGGCCCTATTAGGAGTACTTCCCATTGAAGTTTAGCCACGAGCCTTGGTCCGGTTATAGGTTTTTGATTAAGGATAGTTCAAAGACTTTCCTTTCCGGGTTAGTTGAGGTAGACCCCGACTAACCCGGGGCAAGCCCAAGCCCATGTGAAGTGCTCAAGGAAAGCCCATTAACCTTTTCAAGCCCATTTCTCTTCAAATTGGGCCCGTTTAAGCCCAAGTTTGTTGGCCCAAGCCCAAGCCCATGTGAATAGTGTCATGAATAGTGCCGTGAATAGTGTTAAGGGCTGAAATTATCTTTTTGCCCCTAAGTCTTCTGGAAGCCATCATTGGCTTGCTTTGCAAAATTCAATCCTAGCCATTGATCTTGGCTTGTTGGGCAAGAATTGATCTTGGCCATCCATCTTTGAGTGTATCTTGCAAGACACTTTCCCTCTCTTCCTCATTCTATCACTTTTGGCTTGCTCATTCTCTCTCTCTCTCTCTCTCTCTCTCTCTCTCTCTCTCACCCCTTGTTCGGCTCCCCTTTCCATCGCCCCCTCCCTCTCCCTTTTTCCTCTTGTTTTCTCTTGTACCGCCGCGACCATCATGCGCCCTTGCCACCCCTGAGCCGCGCCTAGCCGTGTGCCGCCGTTCGCCTCACGCCGAACCGCTGTGAGCCGTGCCTCACCCCTCGCCGAGTCGCCTTTGTAGCTGTCCAGCAGCCGCTCGTGAGACCCATTTTTCGTGCCGCCACCTCGTGCCATTCCGGACCAAGCTACACGTAGCCCTCGCCGCCGCCATTGCATCCGTGTCGTCGAAATTGTTTGCGGATGAGTTAACGCTTTAATCCCTTGATTAGTACGTTAAACTTGATTAGGATTAGTTTATATTAAGTTAATTAGGTGATTAGTGATTAATGGTGATTAATTGGTTGATAGGTTATCAACTAGCGATAAGTTATCGAAAAATTAGACGATAAGCTATCGAAGTTTTTGTGATAAGTTATCACCAAATAGGCAATAAGTTATCACCAAATAGGCGATAGTCTATCAAGGAAATGATGATAAGCTATCGTCGGAGGAATGATAAGCTATCGTTATTTGACTGAAAAGCTATCACCGATTAGGTGATAAGCTATCGATTAATTTAATGATAAGCTATCATCAAGAGGCAATAAGTTATCAATATTTAGACGATAAGTTATCGCAATTAGGGTGATAGGTGGATTTTATATGGGTGTTTTCTGCTTGAGTTAAGTGTTGAATTATGCCTCTTTTATGCTGTTTAATGCTTGCTTTGCCCTGAAAAATAATTGCCCTATGTGAAACCTTGCTATTTAATTTTTTAAAAGGGTTTTTATGGACATATAAATAGTAAACCTCGAGGTGTCGGGTTTATAAATCAAATTTTATAAGTTAAATAGGGCAATGATGTTTAAAAAGGGAAGCATGCAAAGCTTGATGGTTCAATTATGTATATGTGATCACGTGTGAATTTATTACTGCATTTTTAGGCATGAAAGTTGCAGTATTTTGATGTATAAGCATAACCACGTCTGCATTGGTAAAATGAGGAGAAATGAAATTGGCTTGAGTGGTTAAGGTGCTTGCGTGATCACATAATGAAAATCCATTAACCCCGTATGAGTACGGGCGTGCCTTAAATGGCCGTGATGAAACCTATGACATCCCCGATTTTGGGCCTAGGAAGCTGAGGGCAAGTGATCGAATGAGCGGGTAACTTGAGCCGACGGTCGGTAATGGAACGAACTATATGATCGGAACGAGTGTACTAAGGGTTGATCATGGTTCGATCGAAAGATTGTCCATGAATTGGCCTAGGGATCGACAGTGGAATGACTTCCTGATTTCGTAAGATGATTAGAGTAATATGACTGTGAATTGACCCTTCGACCAAAAGGGCCGGTAGTGGAACGGTCCGGGATAGCTGTGGATCAGTCCGGTATCGGCATGTGTCGGTCGCAGGTGATACCGCACGGCCATGTATCGGTCACGGATGACCATGAGTTAATTCCGGGGTACTAGATTCCACAAGGTCACATGACAATCGAGGGTTGACCACGAGTCGTTGATACTCGAACGTGGACCGATCGCGAATTGGCCATGAATCATTGTACCAAGTCAGGTAGGCCATGGACGAGCCATGTGCCAGGCCACGAGCCCAATGGCTTGGCCGCGGACTAGGCCATGTGCCAGCCGCGCCGGCCAGGCCGTGTGCCCGGACGTGACCGGCCATCGTGCCCGTCAGCTAGGCCATAAACCGGCTATGTGCCCGATCGTGTGCCGGTCATTGTGCCTGACCCTTGTACCAGGCGTTGTGCCCGTAAGATCTAGTTCCGATCTAGTCCCGTGCCTAAGAAATATGGCCATGAACCGTACATTGTGCCATTCATGAGCCAATGTTTGTGTTTGGCCATGAACCAATCCCTCGCTCGTGTGACCAGGCGTGGTGCTCGGCACGTCATTTGTGTGGCCGGCATGGTGCTCGGCACGTTGCACGTGCAGCCGGCATGGTGCTCGGCACGTCGCCCGTGCAGCCCGGCACAATGCCCGTGCGGCCCGGCCATGTACCCGGCCCTGTGCTCGTGTAGCCCAGTCGGGTGCTCATGTGGCCCGGTAGTGCGCCAGGTCACGCGTCCAGTCAGACCTGGCCATGTGCCCAGCCACCCGGTTGGCTTGGGCTTATTCTATTTTGCTTGGACCTTGGTTTGGTTGTGTTAGGTGAATTTTGAGGATATTCTCGCATCGAACCTCGGGTTGAACGGGTATACCAAGCGTGGATAACCCTCAGAAAATAAGGCGAATAAGTATGATGCGGGGTTATGATTGTAGTATCAATTAGCCAATTTTGTGTAAACCGATTGGCCCAAGTAGTTGGAAATGAACCAGAATGTTCTAGAGCTCCCACACGGTTCAGAATTTGCAGAGGAAAAGAAGACAATTGGTTGACTTGGTCAAAGGCTTCATTTAAGGCCACTTAATGCCATTTAAGGCTTTCATAATTGGATCCCCTTATGTGTCCCCTCCATAATTTCTGACTAAGCTGAGCTGGTGCCATGCATTAAAGGCCATTTGATGACTCAATGGCCACCAATTATGGGGCACAAGCAGGGGACAATCGGCCAAGCCAAAGAGGAAACCGAGAAGGCCATTCGGCCAAGGGAAAGGAAGAACCGAGAGAGAGAGAGAGAGAGAGAGAGAGAGAGAGAGAGAGAGAGAGGGGGGGGCCAAGGGATAAGATCACATTGAAAGCTCTTAATTGCCATGCATCATTGCTTTTGGCTCTTGTGCATTAATGCACTTAAAGCTTGGCTTCTTTTCCAAGCTTGTTTGTCTTTAAAAAGCAAGAAGCCCTCACGTGAGAAGCTCCCCCACAAGAACCGGCCATCATCTTCTCTTCTCCTCTTGCCTTCCTTTTTCACGCCCAAACACACACAAGCCAACCTTGTTCTTCCTCTTTGCTTGTTCGGCCAACTAGAAAGTCACACCCGAGACTCGCCCGAGGCCCCGTTTTTCCC